CTCCTGAGTGGCCATGGTTGCTGCAATGAATTTTCTTGGATCTTGCTGGCTTAGCGTCTTATGCAGGTCTGAACCTTGTTTCTTGCTCAATTCCTGACATTTTGGTTTCCCATAAGGGTCCCAACATATGTCACCATTCATGATAGGTAGTCTAGATCACACTAGAAGAGGTTGAACAATCGAACTTATTTCCCTTTCACACACGGTGTTAATTTTGGGGGAAAAAAATTGCACCTGGAATAATAAAAGAGCCAGGCAGCCACCTTCTAGGTCAACTATAGTACTACAGTCACCACGTCACAAAGCTGCTGTCGGTTATGACACCACTGCACTCCTTTCTCTTCTTTTAGAACTCAGTTCTTCAACAAAACCAGCTGCTGTTACCGAACTTACAGGTCATCACTAGCCTACCATAAATCTTGTATGGCTGTTGTAGCAGTATGTACAGGTCCTCTCTTGACCTACAAATCAAGTGTGGCTGCTGTTGCAGCTTATATAGGTCATCCCCTGACCTACAAGTTCACCAGAAGGCTGCTGTTGCAGCATATAAAGGTCATCACCAACCTACAGTTTGTTACAGGGATCAGCCAATCCCACAAAAAAGGAAAGAGGAGGGACTGTTTGCCTCACATTGACAGACTGAACCTATTACAGGTTCTGTTCTGGCACACGACCAGAAAAAAAAAAAGAAAAAGAGAAAGGGAGAGAGAATACTTCAGTCCGATCTGAATCTGGATCTAGATCTGGCGAAGGGAGAAGACAGAAAAAGGTTTGCTCGATCTCTTCTTTCAGATCTAACAGTCCTGCTCTGATACCATCTTGTCCAGAACTGAAGTGAAGAAAAGATAGAGGAGAGAAAGAGAGAAGAGAGGTGAGAGATTTGAGAGCATCAAAAAGTTGCTGGCGCTGCCAACTTTTTAATATTTATATTAGGGCGACTGAACATAACATAAAGACAAGGGGAATTACAATAATACCCCTGCAACACTAATAGAAATAAAAAACATAAGAAAAAACACTCTTTAACCAGTATTTTAACAAAGACATCTTGTCTTATCTCTTCCTCTTCAAAGTCTCTTTCCAACCAAGCTGCCTCACCGACTGATAGACCTGGCCAATCTAGATCTTCCACTCTCACCCTTCTCTCCAGCGACCTACTCAAAATGGATTTGAAGTGAGCTACAAAGCAATTGGCTATCTCCTCTTGTGACTCAATTTCTACTCCTTCAACCTCAATCTTGGTCACAAAATTTTTTCTCCTTCTCCCATTGGCCATAGCATGAAAGAACTTGGTATTCCCATCCCCTTCTTTGATCCATTGATGCCTAGCTTTTTGCCTCCAAGATATCTCTTCCCTCAATAGGACCTCTTCCAAATCCTTCTTCAACTTCCATCTCAATTCTCTTTCTTGTGAACTCATGGTCCTTTGATGTTCCTTTAAATCTAAATGCTCGATTTGGGCTGTCAATCTGGTTTTTAACTCTTCCAATCTCCCAAATTCATCTCTGTTCCAATCTCTTATTTTGGATCTCAGACTTTTTAATTTCTTGTGGAATCTAACCCCTTTCCACTTAACTCCCCTAATCTCTTCTCTCCACCACTCCTTCACTTTATGCACAAAGTCTGAGTGTGTCAACCACATGTTCTCGAACCTAAAGGGTTTAGGTCCAATCCCAAAAGTCTCTTGGCCTAACTCTATAGGGCAATGATCCGAGGTAACTCTAGGCAGAGCTCTAGCCACCAAACCCCTCCAGTGTGCTTCCCAACTTTCATTGAAGAGGAATCTATCCAGTTTTGAACAAGATGGATTCTCCTGGAAATTGGACCAAGTGAAGCTAGCATGTAGCATAGGGAACTCCTTCAAAGTACAATTGTTGATAAATTCATTGAATCTCCTCATGCTAGTTGTTATAGGTTGTTGGGGATTATTTGACTCATTRAGAAACCTTATTACATTGAAATCTCCACCCAAGCACCAAGGGCCTTCCCAAAGTCCTTGAATTCCATAGAGTTCTTCCCATAGTTCATTCTGCTCTCTATAATTATTCGGCCCATACACATTGGTTAATACCCAAATGAAATGATCCTTCATCATCCTGAACTTTAGTGATACAGAAAAATTACCTATCATCTCCTCTAATGGTTCTACTACATCCTCTCTCCAAAGAGTAATTATCTCCCCAAAGGCTCCCCAAGAGGGAGTTGAGCACCAACTCACACCCCTTGCTTTCCACACACTTCTAATCCATTTTCTGTCTAGTTCAGCTAGTTTGGTTTCTTGTATCAATACAATGTCAGGCCTTTCCTTCTTTAACAGATCTTTTATCACCCTCCTTTTTCTTGCACTTCCTAGACCCCTCACATTCCAGCTAATGATCTTCATCAACTCGATTGTAGAAAGATACCCTCCACACCTTCCATTGTCCTTCACTTTAGAGCCTTCCTCCTCTCCCCTCTTCCACTAAATTCTAAGTCCCCTTCTATGTCTGAAATTAATCTTTCCACCTCGGACCTTTTTTTTTTCTTTTTGCTTTTGATAATTGTTTCTTTTCCTAACATCACTGATTTACCCCGTCCTTTCTTCTCACAACAGTTACTCTCTAAGCCTCCACCTGTCTTTTTTCTAACAAAGAAACTTCTTCCTCTGTTTCTAACCTCACCCTTTCAACTTCTATTCCTTCACCTCTGGCTGTTCTCTCCAGCTGTGATGCCAAGGTACCTATTTCAGGCACAAAACCCCAATTAGTAACAAAACCTGAATGGACAAACATACCTGGCCTGATAGGAGGGGAAAAGTCAACAGGTTGTGTTGGAATATCAGTGATAGAATTCTGATCAGAACTCCTTCCCTCTGTTTGATTTGGTTGTTGGGGTAAATTTGGTTCAATCAAGCCTTATCAGTCCCTACATTTGGGGGAGGCTTTGGTACAGTTTCTTTTCTGGGTGTTTTCTTGTAAACCTTCAAAGAAGAATCCTGCCTCTCCAAGCCGAAACTCTTTACTTGCCTGTTTTCTGGAAAGGATTTGTTTGCAAGAATCTGTGTACCCTGATCATCCTTTAAAGCTGCTGCTAAGTTCCCTTCATCCTTGTGTGGCAGATCAGTTGTTGAAGTCTCTAAGTTGTCAGCCTTGTCCTCCACCTTATTTCGCTTCTCCCCTTTTCCACCACCTTCCAATACACATATTTCTTCCTCTGGGAATAGAATAGCAGTGTTTAAGCTTTCATCTTCCCACAAGTCCTTCGAATCCTTCAAATTTACACTTCCTATACTGATTGTGTCGTCTGTGTCTGAACCAAAGTCACTTTCATCTTCAGAAGACATCTCTGTATCCAGGTTTTCTGGGTCCCGCCTTCAAACTGATCTTGGATTGCGACGATCTTTGGAAGGTCGCGACAGGTTTTTCAAAGGAACCCACTGAAGCAAACTTGTTCTCTGGTTCGACTTCTTTGAAGCCTTAGAGGAGCTCAAAGAGGACGATGCTAGATGAATAAACTTGTCTAGCATCAGTCCATCCTCAGTCACGTGAGGTTTTAAAGAGCCACCCCTTTCAGCTTGACCTAACGGCTCAACCTTCTTATAAACCGGTTCAAAGTCCTCGGCCCTACTGGTTTCTCCTTTTGGAAATGACAGTTGTAACTTGTTTGAATTGTTGGCTCCAGAAACTAACACCTGGGCAAAAGATCTTTTTGCTGTCAGTCCCTTGTCTTGTAGCCCACGTATTTGACCTTCCTTACTGCCCCTATCTTTTGAATAGTCACAGTTTTGCTTGCCTATTTTAGTGAAACTTCCCATCTTCTTTTGAACCTAGATGTGAATCAGTCCTCTAATATCAGGTTTAAAAACAGTGATTAACAGTACAAATCAGATCTGAATGATAGTGCAAGAGCTTCAGAGCTGTGTATGTCGAAGAGAAGAGGTAAGAGAGGAAAAAGTCGAATAAGTCTTCCTTCTCCTCTAACCCTATTTTTTATTAATCTCTAAAACAAATTGATGATGACAAGTATACCCTTAAGTGGGCGGCCAGCTTGGCAGTTACATAAAGAAAATAAAAATAAGAACAAATAACAGGCCCATTAAGTGAGGCCCATCAACATAAAATAAAAGATAAGATAAAGGATATCACATAAGAGGCTGTTAGGGTCCATTCGGCCCAGTCTCTTTACAAACCTCCAGTCCTAGACAGCTGTACAGGGCCTGTTCTTCCACCCGTACATCTTCTTCCTGTCTGGCCTCTAACCACAGAGAAGCTTCAATGGAGGAAGCTAACCAAACCTGTAAAAACAGTCCTTCAACCTGAAGAGTAATCTTCCTAGGTATCTCTTCTGCTTTAACTCCATTTAATAGTAGAGCAGCAGATCTTAAATCTCCCCAGAACTCCCCCACCAAACGAGCTCGACATAACAAAGCAATGGAGAGAGGGAAGAGAGAAAGGGAGAAGAGGTGAGAGAGATTGGAGAGCAACAACATAATTGGCAGGACCAGTTCTCATTAATATATATAGGGCGATAAAAATAAAAGATAAAAAGACATCTGTGCCCTTGCGGCACATACTAAATTAAATATTAACTATTCTTACACCATCAAAGTTTTGCTTAATAACACCTTCTTCAGGGGGCCTCCATTCCACCACAGGCTTATCTCTAGCAACAGAACTTTTGTCAACCAGCTCCTAATTCCTCCAAATATCATCAAAGGAGCTACAATTGGTTGGTGGATCTTTTTTTTCCCCAGGTAAAAAACAAAATGGTGGATCAATGCAACTACAATTGGTGCTCCATTTTATGACTTATGAACAAGCCTAATAGGCATGCTCTTTCCTTGTATCCCGTATCAATGTTTCTTTTTGTTACCATTTTTGACATCAAGTCTATGCTATATTACTCAATCCAAGCCATTTTGTTCGACTTCTTTCACACCTATATATTTATCCTTGAAATTTGCACGTAGTTTTGGAGACTGGAAAATGCTACATGAAATTTATTTATTTATTTATTTGCAGGTGGAGGATATGTAATTTCTCCTGTGAACCAAGGAAACCAATCAGTTGTGAAGCACATGCTTTCCATTGACTGGAAATTCTGGAAGTCCTATGTGAATACATCATCTGCAAGATCTATAACCATCCAAATGCTTGAGAGAGTTGCAGGTACTAGTCTTCTTCTTATTCTTCTTTTAGTGGTGAATCATAATTCAACTATTCGCTCTTTCAAGCTTTTTGGACTAGGAAGCTTCATGGCTTTAAATGAATTGCATCATTCTTTGTGCCTGCAGCACTGAGGGAGTTTTTCCAAGCCAAAGAAGGAAATTGCCCCTCTGAATTCTCATCAGGAGAGCTGACACGAGATATTGGATTGTCTCGGAGTCTAAAGGAGGATATCAAGGTTGAAATCCAAACCCCAATGAAGAGCAGGAGGGGTGAAAATGATGATTCTATGGTAGAAAAGGTGGAAAAGCAGTTCCCAAAACCTGCAAGCCTTATAGAACTTGATGATGTAGCTGATGAATTCTTTGATGTTCCTGAACCATCAGAATATGACCTATCAGATACTGGCTGGCCTGCTGATGAGAGTCAAGATATGCACCCTCAGGTACTTAGTAGGGCAATCTGGTGTTTTGTTGTGTTTCAATGAGGCAAAGTATTAATTTTCTGAAGAATGGATCCTTGACTCATGTCAGATCTCAATTAATCTTTACCTATAAATTAGTCTGAATCAACAATATCCTTTGATTCTTCCAATGGAAATTGAATTTGGAGCTGGCTCTGATACATTTCAATTTCTGAGTTAAATGACCTTTTACTCTTTGAATTGGGGGGAAGGAGGGAAAGGTATAAATTATGGGTTCAACTGAAGTGATTTGTACCTCTGAGATCTTACTATTTCCATCTGATATGTACCTTGAAGTATAAGTAGAACTGAAAGGAATTCTCTTTTCATAAGTGATAAAAAGAATGTATATATTATATGTGTAAATGTACAAATCAAAGGTCTATATCCTAAGATATATGCAGTATACTGCCTCTAAAACCAAAACATTGCCAACTACAGACAAAAAGCCCTATACTTAAAGGAATTGAACTCATTGAGAATAAGAGTCCAATCAAGAAATTTTCAAAATGATACTATGATTATTTCATAAAATAAGACTTATATTACAGGAGGAGAGTGAGCTATTCTTGTTGCCTATCTTGGACTCATGCAGTGAATATGCATCTGAAATGGTTCAATCTTTCTGCCTCAAAGGTTTTCTGGCCTTAAACTTATATCAGTTGGATATGACCCTAAGGTTCAGATATATGGAAGTTACTGTACATAGTGACTAATACACCAAATCATCCAAAAATAAGTCTTGGAATTGGTAGTTACAGTCATCTAGCTAATCAATCTTTTACCAAGAAGACCATGGATTGATCATCAATTCCCATCCCCTTTTGTATATTTTACTCTTATTCCATATGTATTCTACTTGTAGGGAATTTCGGTACTTGTTTCTACTTCTCTATTCTGATACTACTCTTCTGTCAATGGGAATTCCAGGATTTATGCCATCCTAAATTATCTACAGCTACATGTTTTGTGAAGAAGTTGCATGATCTAGCAGGTGAGTCTCACTAGACTAACCAATGTCGATTGATCTTCATGGGGGATAACATGTCTTTATCTATTTCTATATGATGACTTTTTGTCATCAGGGTAGCAGGATGGCATGTGCTTTCTATATCATCTGAATCATAATATCTGAAATGACTTAATCCTTTTGCATGCTGCAGTTCAGAAGAGGGGTTACATAGACTTGCAAGAGACGACAAGGGAAGACAACATACCATGCTGCTATGGAGACACTCTTCCAAAAGATCCATGTTGTAATTTGGCTTGCAGTTGGACCACACCTGATCCTTCAACATTTCTAATACGTGGAGATAATTATCTGGTAGACAATCAAAAGGTACAGTTATTCTGCTAGCTTGGAAGCTGAAATTTGCAAAAGGTATTTCAAGAAAGAAAAGAATACAAGTTAGTTTCTATTTGATATAGATCTGCTTGTGTATAGTGAGAAATCCAAAGAAATCACAGTTATTTAACAATGCCTTTCACCTGTCATAATTATTATGTTTTGGTTTGTATTTCATATATTTTTAATATGTTTGTTATCTTTTCGCCAGATCAAAGCAAAAGGAACCTTGATGCAAATGGTTGCTGCAGATTGGCTCAGATCTGACAAGCGAGAAGATGATCTTGGTGGACGTCCTGGGAGCATTGTTCAGGTTGCTCTATTACATTTTTCATTTTATGAGCCAAGACTCTGTTGTATCTAAGTTATATGCATGCAACATACACATGTATGCACATAATGTTATAATATGTATTGAAAGAAAATCTTATAACTGAAGTTTTGGAATTCTGCAGAAGTATGCCCAAAAGGGTGGTCCAGAATTCTTCTTCATTGTAAACATACAGGTAAAGATCTTTTTTATGTTCTTATTCTCATGGGATCCTCAAATGTTGGAACATTTACCACATTTTTTATGAACCAGGTTCCGGGTATGACTACATATAGTCTCGCATTATATTACATGTTAAGCACTCCTTTGGAGGACAGCCCCCTACTAGAGAGCTTTGTCAAAGGAGATGATACTTACAGGAATTCTAGGTTTAAGCTCATACCATACATTTCCAAGGTTAGTATATGGAGTAATGGATGTTGTCAAGTTTTTTTCTTAAACCCTCAAAGCATAATTTAATGAAACTAAACTTTCATTTTGTCTCACATTTATTGCCCAAAAGTAGCACTGACATTGTTCTCAAAATGTCTGCACACAAATTTCTATCAGCCTTTCTTTTTTTGATAAATCTCTCTCTCGTGCTCATTATTGGAAAATGAGTATCTATGAAGATGTTCAGTGGAAAGGGGAGTACCAACAAAGAGTAAAAGGAGGACTTGGAAGATTGAAAAAACCCTAAAAACCGGAAGACCTTTCTTTTTCCAAAGATGATATAAGGATTATTGCACATATTTATGATATCTTTCTCAAAACCTTGATTAAAGACAAGGACAACAGAGAGAAATGAGAAGAGACATCTGCTGGAATGATCAGCTCAAGAACCCAGCCACTCTCTTCTGTCTTCTTCTTCTTCTTTTTTTTTTTTTGGCTGTTGTGTGTTATATACAGGAAAAAGTACATATGAGGGTCTACCAAAGCCACCCCTGGAAATTTTAGCTAGCTTCATTGGAATTTGACTCTTCTCTATCCCATCTCTCTTTATACCTGCTAATGCCATCTCAGAACTCTGCTGCCTGGTTTCCTTTTCTGAAAGTGTGTCTCAGCCACAATATATTCACTCAATATCTGTCTGACTTAATGTCTTAAATGAGTGCTCTAATGTGCCATTGGGAGAGGGTACTTGTTCCTTCAATTCTGTTGGATTGAAGTCTTTGTATGTATGAGTATTCGACTGATAAGAGTTCTTATTAGCCTATACTTAAGTTTAAGTTGTCCTGTACTGGGCCTATGTTAATGGGCCTAATCCTGTTTAATGTTTTAAGTTGTTTGGGTGTCCCATCACTAATCAGGGGCATTCTAGTAACTTCCTGTATCATTGTACTACATCATAATATAAATAATAGTACTGTCGACTGAGCAGTTCAGTTCGACATTCCAGCATCTCTTCTTCTTCTTCT